TCCTACTTATAGGATAAAAATATGGAATCAAACAGACGTTATCCTACTTACGTCAATAAGATATAAATTGAATGCGTTGTTCAAGGAGTTTGTATTTTATCTATCTATTTCGTCTATCTATCTTTTTCCGGATTATTGGTTTATTACCTTTGTCTCTTTTATTTTGCTATTGTCTTCGTTATTATTATGACACTTTTTCATCGTTTTCTTTTTTTTTCTTTATTTCTTTCTTTGTTTTGTCACGAAAAAAATGTATCTGTACAATTTTTGTCTTTGTTCTTTTATGAATTTCTTATTTGTTACTACTGTTATATATTATGATTTATTAATATTTTACTTCAAGTTGTCTTTTATTTCCTTCATGGGTGATCAAAAATTGTGAAACAGAAGAAAGGGAAAGAAATGGAACTTAGACGATCAACATAAAAACAACACACGTGATAAGACTTTTTTTTTTTTATTTTTTTTTTTTTTTTTTTTACCTGTAGTTTTTTTTTCCAGGTGTGGGTGGGACGCTATTGGGGGGGGGGGGGGAGTCCTGGGTGTAGATGAAGTTAATTTTTGTAGGATAATTATGGCTTGTGTTTTGCTAGGAATGGTTTTTGATGTTAAATTGAATCGAGTTAAGGGAATGTGGAGGGTTTTTAGACATGCATTCTTATACCTACACACATACACATACATACGCACGCACACACACAAACCCACACACACACACACACACACACACACACACACACACACAACACACACACACATACACATACACATACACACACACACACACACACACACACACACACACACACACCACACACACACACCACCACACACACACACACACACCACACACACACACACACACACACACACACACACCACACACACACACACACACACACACACACACACACACACACGACACACACACACACACAACACACACACACACACACACACACACACACACACACACACACATACACACACACACATACACATAACACACACACACACACACACACTTAAACTATAAGTAGAAAACTAAAGACAGATTACTCATATCTGACAAAAAAAAAAAAAAAACTTTTCCAAAAGATTTTTCCCTATCTCAAAGTCGTGAAAAGATCGTCGTAGAAACTTTGGAAGCCAGAAAACTTCGGAGATAGGGTCAAAAAAGGTCAAAATATTATTTACGTCTGTGTTTGCGTGGTGTGTGTGTGTGTGTGTGTGTGTGTGTGTGTGTTGTGTGTGTGTGTGTGTGTATGTGTGTGGTGTGTGTGCGTGTGTTGTGTGTGTGTTGTGTGTGTGTGTGTGTGGTGTGTGTGTGTGTGTGCGTGTGTGTTGCGTGTGGTGTGTGTGCTGTTGCGTGTGCCGTGTGGTGATGGTGCTGCGGAGAAATGAGAGGGAGAGAGAAGATAGAGAGAAAATATATATATAGAGAGAAGAGAGAGGGAGAAGAGAGAGAGAAAGAGAGAGAGAGAGAGAGAGAGAGAGAGAGAGAGAGAGAGAGAGAGAGAGAGAGAGAGAGAGAAGAGAGAGAAGAGAGAGAGAGGACAGAGATAGAAATATAGATAGAATACAGAGAGAGAGGGGAGAGAGAAGAGGAAACAGAAAGAAAAAGTAAAAGAGAGAGAAAGAAGAAGAAGAAAGAAAAATCGAGAGAGGAAGCGATCCGAATAATTTACGAGATAAGATATTTTTTTTATAGCTTCTAGAAAAAAGGAAATTGCATTTTTAAAGACTTTATAAAATCGAGTGTGGACGAGTTATATTTATACCCTCATTATCTCCTCCAAGGAAAAAAAATAGACTTTAGCTCTTGACTTAAACACAAGAATCCGAAATCTATTCAGAAACGAGATGAGTATTAAAAAAAAAAAAAAAAATGGTGATGATGATGATGATAGTGATAATAATATTGGTGATAGATGAGTATAAAAAAAAAAAAAAATAAAAAAAATGGTGATGATGATGATGATAGTGATAATAATATTGGTGATAATGGTGATGATATTAACAATAATATTGATGATAATGGTGATGATAATAACGATGGAAATGATTTTGGTGATAGTGATAATAATAATGATGGTAGTGATGATAGGAATATTTACTTACCATTAAGGAGGGGAGAGGATAATAATAATGGAAATAATAATGGAAATAATCGTAATGCTAATAAAAACGATAAAGATGATAGTGATAATGGTTGTGATAATAAAAATAATAATGATGATAATTATAATGAATGTAATAATGATAAGGACAAGAGTAATAATAATGATGATAATTATAATGAATGTAATAATGATAAGGACAATAGTAATAATAATAATAATAATAATAATGATAATGATAATAATGATGATAGAAGTAAAAGTATATTTGCAGTATACCAACACTAATTTGTTGTATATTTACATTTTCTTTCCGCCATATCAAATTTTATTTTCTCATTTTCTGTGTTTTCATCAATCTCCTCTTTGTTATTCATCATTTTTTCCTTTTTTTTTTAAAACTCCGTGGAACAATTTATCTATTGTATTTCCATAACATTCTCTCTTCTCTCTCATTTTCTTTCGCAAATTTATCCACTTTCAATTTACATAATTATCAAATTTATTCTTTCCATAAACTTTATTTATTTATTATTATTATTTTTTTTTTTTATAACTCACTTTTTTCTTCTTCTTTTTTAAAAAAATAAATTCACCTCCTTCATTCATAAATATCTCCTGTGTCCTCCCTTTTTTCTCGTTTTCTTCTATTACTTATCTTTTCTTCCTATCTTTTTAGCTAATTTATTAATTTTCTTCCTCCAAGCTCCCCTGTTCTACACTTTCATAAATTTATTCCAATTTTTGTCCTCTTCATCTCCTCGTTTTTAATTCATGTCTCTTCTCCATTTTCCTCCTTATTCCACTTCTCTTTTCCATCTATGTTCTCTTTATTTATCAATTATTCAGCTTTTCTTCACACCTCACTCACTAATTTTTCATTTGTTCCTCTGCAGACTGACCTATAACGTTTTTTTTCTTTTCTTTTCTTTCTTTTTGATATATTTCCCAACATATTTATTTATCAAATATTCGTTTTTTTCTCTCTCTACTTGATTAACTAATTTTCTCCCCATTCCTTCCCTAAGATGACTTTCAATTTGTATTTTTTTGAAATAAATTTGGCCCAACATCCCCGATAGTCATCAGTCACCCACCTTTTATTAACCAGTTCCCTCTTATTTACCCATTGGTTTTATCGATTTTATTCCACAGCTCCTTCTTATTCTCACATTTTAAACTGATTTTTTTTTCTCCCCACAGGCTGACTTTTCTATTATTTTTTTCTTTTCTTTTTTTTATTAATTTCCCCAAAATTTTCCTTTATTCATTACTCAAACTCACTGTTTCTCCCCCAACTTTTTAACCAATTCTCTCCGCCCCCCCCCCCCCCTTTTTGGCCCCACAGGATGACATCACTTTTCTTTTCTATTTTTTGATGAATTTGCCTCATTTTTCCATTTACTCATGACTCACCCACTCTTTCTCCCCACCTCCCTTTTTCTCCCTCCCCCGCAGGCTGAAATACCCATTTTCCCCCATAAATTCGCCCCAATACCACCTTTTACTCATTACTCACCGTTTCTCCCATCTTTTTAACCAATTTTCCCCCTTATCTCCTACCTTTATCACGTGTTTTCCCTTCTAAACACAAAATTTACCGCATTTTTATTCATTTACTCACCCAGCTTCCCTCCTTTCTCTCTCCCCCGCAGGCTGAAATACCCATTTTCCTCCATAAATTTGCCCCTAACCAATTTCCCTATTATCTCCTACCTTTATCACGTGTTTTTACCCATTCTAAGCACTAAATTTACCGCATTTTTATTCATTTACTCACCCACCTTCCCTCCTTTCTCTCTCCCCCGCAGGCTGAAATACCCATTTCCCCCATAAATTTGCCCCTATACCCCTTTTATTCATTATCCACACCCACCGTTTCTCCCATCTTTCTAACCAATTTCCCCCTTATTCCCTACCTTTATCACGTGTTTTTCCCCTTCTAAACACTAAATTTACCGCATTTTTATTCATTTACTCACCCAGCTTCCCTCCTTTCTCTCTCCCCCGCAGGCTGAAATACCCATTTTCCCCCATAAATTTGCCCCAATACCCCCTTTTACTCATTCCGCACCGTTTTACCCATCTTTTTAACCAATTTCCCCCTTATTCCCTACCTTCTAAGCACTAAATTTACCGCATTTTTATTCATTTACTCACCCACTTTCCCTCCTTTCTCTCTCCCCCGCAGGCTGACCTCTCCTGTCGAAACACCTTGGCCAACGTAGGCACTATATACACCCAGACGAACCACGTGACTCTGCGCTACGTCACCGACCAATGGGGACCCAAGGAGAACGGATTCAAGCTGCTTATAACGGCCTTCAAGGATAAAAGTAAGGGGTTGGATCCTTTCTTCTGGTTGCTGTTTTGTTTTGTTGATGGATTTGTGAATTTGCTATTTAGGTGTTTATTTTTTTTTCGTTTATTGTTGTTGGTTTTTCGTTTTATTTATTCAATGATTTTTTGTTTGTATTGTTCGTTCTGTGATTTGGTCTGAGAGAGAGAGAGAGAGAGAGAGAGAGAGAGAGAGAGAGAGAGAGAGAGAGAGAGAGAGAGAGAGAGGAGAGAGAGAGAGAGAAGAGAGAGAGAGAAGAGAGAGAGAGAGAGAGAGAGAGAGAGAGAGAGAGCGACAGAAAGTGAGTGTGAGAGAGCAAGGGAGAGATAGATGGATAGATAGATAGATTGAGAGAGAGAGAACAGAGAGACAGACAGACAAACAGAAAAATAGAGCGACCGAGAGAGACAGACAGAGAGAGAGAGATAGAGAAAGAGAAAGAGAAAGAGAAAGAAAGAGAAAGAGAAAGAGAAAAGAGAAGAGAACGAGAACGAGAACGAGAACGAGAACGGAGAGAGAGGCCACGAAAGGAATCCGGGGTTGTATTAAAACTTTTTTTTTTTAGAACAGTTTTGGTTATGAGATCTGGACGGAGACCTCGTTCCGCTTGGACGAATCCTCGAAAGAACTTTGGATATACATGATAAAAAAGGGGAAAAGAAGAGAGAGAGAGAGAGGGGGAGTGGGAATAAGATGAAGAGAGAATAAGAGAAGAAATGAGAGTGGGAGTGAGAGAGGGAGAGAGAGAGAGAGAGAGAGAGAGTGAGTGAGTGAGTGAGTGAGTGTGAGTGTGAGTGAGTGAGTGAGTGAGTGAGTGAGTGAGTGAGTGAGTGAGTGAGTGAGTGAGGAGAAGACAGAAAGAGAAAGAGAAAGAGAAGAGAAGAGAACAGAGAACGAGAGAGAAAACACAGACAAACAGACAGAAAAAAAAAAGAAAAAAAATACATCTCGAAAATTCTTGGAATATTGGCAACGCTTCTTCTATCGGGGGGGGGGGGGGGGGGTGGGGGGGGGGGGGAGGGCCGGGGGGGGGTGAGGAAATGTATCGAATCTTCGGAACTGGCGACGTTGTTGTGTATCGTGGGATATTTTTTCATCTTTTCCGTTCTTTTGAAGTATTCGTATCAGAGTATTCGGATCAGAGAGAGGAGGAGGAGGAGGGAGAAGATCTTGGGCTGATAGGCTTGTGAAATTTTGTTCTGGAGAGGAGGGAGAGGAAGAGAGAGGAAGGGGGAAAGGGGAGAAAATGAGAGAGGGAGAAAGGGAGAAGGAAGAAAGGAAGAGAGGGGGGAAAAGGAGTGAGGAAGAAATGGAGAGAGGGAGGAAAGGAGAGAGGAAGAAAGGAGAAAGGGAGAGAGGGAAAAAGGAGAGGGAGAAAGGAAGAAAGGGAGAGAGGGAAAAAGGGAGTGGGGAAGAATGGGAAAGCGGGAGAAAGTGAGAGAGAGGCACAAAGGAGAAGAGGAAGAAGAGAGGAAGAAAGGGAGAGAGAGAGTGGAGTGATGGGGATGGAGCGAGAGTAAAGGAAGGAGATGAAAATGGAATAAAAATGGAAAGAAAGAGGTATAGACAGAATAGGGAAATAGAATTATTATTAGGGACTTTAGAATAATGTTAGATAGGAGAGAGAGAGGGAGGAGAGGGAAGGCGAAAGTAGGAGGTAAGGAGAGAGGCAATAGAATAAGATAAAGAGGAGAAAATTCAAAGAGAGAGAGAGAAGAGAGAGAGAGAGAGGAGAGAGAGAGAGAGAGAGAGAGGAGAGAGAGAGAGAGAGTGGAGAGAGAAATAGAGAAAAAAGAGGGAGATAAGGAGAAGGAAGTAAGAGAAAGGAGAGAGGAAGAGAGAGAGAGATAGATAGAGAGAGATGAGAGTGAGAGCGCATCAGACTTTTCAGCAGAGATGTCCGAGAGCAAAAGTTAATATGAAACGATAGAATCCTTTTTTTTTCCTTTTTTTTTTTCTTTTTTTTTTTTCCGTCTTCGGCAACACAGAGATGACACGATATGAAATGGCAATCTGACGTCACCAAAGTTTTGACTCACTTTTTAATCTTCAAATCTGCTTACATTTCAGTCATATTGGGATTAAAAGAAAAAAAATATAAATACAAATACGTCACGTTCTTTTTTTTTTCTCAAATACATTCCGGATACGAGATAGGCTGTTGTCGAGTAAGACCCTTGACTTTTTTTCCCCCCAAAAGCTTATATTCATGATCATTCGAGGCTATTCATGACAGCCATGCAGCTTTAAGGGGCGAGATGGATAGCCAAAGGAAAGCTGTACTATGTGAGAATGTGTGAGTCTCGTAGCTCCGTGTAGACGGGGTGAGACGACTGTGTGTGTGTGTGTATCTTTAAGTGTGTAATTGCGTTTATACGTGGGTTTATGGAGGTGCGTTGGAGGTCGGTGTTTTTATGAAGGAGATACAGGTGTGGGTGTATGGAGGGACTGCTTGTGTGTGTGGATACTTGTATTGATAATTATGTTCGTATATCAGTCGTCTGTCTCTTCTCTAGTCCGTTCCTCTATCTCCTTTCCTTCTCTACTCCCTCTTCCGTTTTCTCGCCTCCGCACGCACACGATCCCTCTCAATCTCCCTCCGCCCCCGCCCACACAGTCACTTCCACCATCTCCCTCCACTCAACCCACACACAAGGACTGCCAAGAACAGACTCAACACAATACCTGCTCACCTTAACGGCAACACCTCTCTCCTCCCAAGACGTTCATTTTCAGTTGTCTCGTCTCTGTAATTAAATCACTTTACCTGCGACGCTCTTTTTATCTCCGCTGACTGATGACTTAGTACGACTTTCGGCTGTTGAAGTGAGTAGGATGTTGAGTTGGCTTTAATTTTATTGTTGCAGACTGATGACATAGTTCGAATTTCGGTTGATGAACTAAGTGAGACATTGAGTTGACTTTATCTTTATCATTGCAGACTGATGACTTAGCGGGACACTTTTGGCTGATGAGTTGATTGAACAGTTTTGATTTGTTTGGCAGGAGGAGTGAGAGAAGGAAGTTAAAGAGGGAACTAGAGATAAGGAGAGGGAAACAGGAGGTAGCATGAGGGAGAGAGGAGAAAGGGGGAAGAGAAAAAGCCGCAAAACATAAAAGTATAACACCTAATTCAAAGAAGCCTAGACCCGTACACATGCGGAGGGAGCTGACACACCCGTACAATGTTTTATGAATGAAAGCATCGCCTCGCAGATATGATCATCCTGCCATTCACCCTCGTCAGTTATGACGTCATGGCGATGGAAGCACGTGATTGGCTGCTTCGGAAGTCAGCTTTTGCTTCCGTTTCTGACACCAGGTAATTAGAATCGGTCGATAGGGGAAGGAGGAAAGGAGAGAGAGAGAGAAGAAGAAGAGGAGGGGAGAGGGAGAGACGAGGGGATAGGGACATAGGAGAGATGGGAGAAGGGAGGGAAGAAGAGAGGGAAGGGGTGTGAGCAGAGGAGAAGGAAGGAAGGGAGTGAAAGAGAGAGAGAATGAAAGGAGGGAGAGGGAGAGGAGAGGGGATAGGGGCATAAGAGAGATGAGAGAAGGATGGAAAAAAGAGAGGGAAGGAAGGGGTATGAGCAGAGGAGAAAGAAGGAAAGGAGAGAGAGAGAGAGAGAAGAGAATAGAGGAAAGGAGAGAGAGAGGAGGGAGATACGGGGGAGGATTAAATGAGGGAAAAAGTGGGAGAGGAAGGAAAACGAGGAAAGGAGAAGAAGGAGGGAGAGAGAGAAGAGAGGAAAGGGATGGGGGCAGAGAAGCAAGGAAAGGCAGAGGGAAGGGAAGAAAAGAAGAAAGGAGGGGAGAGACGATGATAGGAGAGAAGGAGGGAGAGAGAGAAAAATGAAAGAAAGGATGAAGAGGCAGAAGAGATAAATAGGGGTGAAAGAAGATGGGAAGGAGGAAAAAGGAGAGGAGAACGAAGGGAGAGAATAGGGAACGGGAGAGAAAGGGAGCAGAGAGAAGAAATAAGGGAGCTAGAGAGAGATGGAGAAGTGCAAATGAGAATAGCTGGGGAAAAAAGTGAGAAGAGAGAGAGAGAGAGAGAGAGAGAGAGAGAGAGAGAGAGAGAGAGAGAGAGAGAGAGAGAGAGAGAGAGAGAGAGAGAGAGAGAGAGAGTATGAAATGATGGGAAAACAATAGAGAGGAAAGAGAAGGAAAGAACGAGAAGAGGGGAGAGAGAAACATGGATAAGGAGGAGAGAAGTAATTGAGAAGAAGAAATAAGTGAGGAGCAAGGAGGAAGATTATGGGAATAAAATACAAGGGAGAAAAAAGGAAGAAAGAAGAAAAAAAGAAAAAGAAACGAAAGTGTAAGAAGTGGAAATACAAAAATACGAAAGAGGAAGAAACAAATGAGAAGTAAAACATGTAGGAAAGGGAGAAAGGTGGAGTGTATAGGAGAGGGAGGATTGCATTATTGAAATAGAAGAGAGAAGAAGATGGAAAAAAAATATTATAATGATGATTATCGAGATTAAAATGGTAAGGTATTTTCCCCCAACATTTTTTTTTTACCTTGTCGAGAAATTAATTAAGTTTAAACGATGCAGAAAATATAATCATAGCTTGAATAGGGAGGACCCAGTCTGTCATATAATCTTTCCGTTTTTTTAATTAGTTGTTATGCTTTTTTGCGGTGATGATGGTGATGGTGATGATGATGATGATGGTGGTGATGATGATGATGATGGTGATGATGGTGATGATGATGATGGTGTTGATGATGATGATTGTGATGATGATGATGGTGATGATGGTGATGATGATGATGATGATGTGATGATGATGATGATGATGATGATGATGATGATGATGATGATGATGATGATGATGATGATGGTGATGATGATGATGATGATGATGATGATGTGTTGATGATGATGATGATGGTGTGATGATGATGGTGATGATGATGATGATGATGATGATGATGATGATGATATGATGGTGTTGATGATGATGATGATGGTGATGATGATGATGATGA